ATCCAGAGCCAGCGCCTGCACCTGCACCAGCATCAGCACGGCAGCAGCACCCGCAAAACCATGCAAAGCCAAAACGCCGACCCAGAGCCACACCATTGAGAAGTTAGAGCCCCTATAATATAGCCTGCAGCTACCTGCGGGACGACCAAGAAAATTGAGAGGCGCTAGCAATATGATACAATACGATACGATACGCCCAGTTGCATGGTGCTAGTTGGAACTGGCCAGATCCAACCAAAAGATGGACTGACAAGACACATGTGTGAGCAAACGCAAAAAAGGAACCCCACGCCGAACCACCCCAATCTGTGAAGCGAAAGCAGCGAAGCAGAGTTGGTGACCAGATGAGGACGATCGGGACCCTCACTCACGTTTGCTTAGGGCTTTGGGAGTTTTGAGACCTGTAGAGCGTTGCGCAGAAGAGGGAAAGTGAACACATATACATCATTAGATATCATTAGTGAACACGGATGAAGAATACTAGTAGGAAAGTCCATACTTTTTCCCAGACGTCAGGGACATTTTATTGTTATGATTTTTCTCGCACCGAACCTCAGTCACAGGATTCCAAAAAAATCGCCAACAAATTAAAGGACATGAAAAAAAACATTAGGAATTCCTAGAAGGATGGAATGGTTCAGCACAGGATTTCATAACAGTTTCATTGCCTCTCCTGGAACAATAGAGTAAGGTCTTACCAAGGAATTTATTACATTGGTTGGTCTAGAGTCTAGCAAGGATGATTTTTTTTGGAATCCTGTGCCGACGCAAGACGTGAAACATACTCAAAACAGACCAAGAGCTGCACACAGAATTATTCTCCCGATGACACACGTACATCCAGCAGGTTTCCTTTCTATACGGGGGAACGCGCCATGTCTTTGGAGACGTCGTCATGTCATGTCTTCCAGTGCCGGCGTTTGCCAACTGCCAACTGCCTTGCCACGAGAGCTGCATCCAGATCAGCGTGTTGATGGCCAAACCCACGTCTTCCGGGCTTCCATGTTTGCTGGGGGGCCTCCAGGTCCATCACTCGAATCGGATGTCTAGAGTTTTTATTTGTTGGACGCTTTGTACCTTAGCTCTTATGTATTTAGGTTCACACACAAACATAATCACATACACACATAGACCTAGACTACTAGACTTCAACATACTAGACTACTCGACTACTAAACTAGACACATACTAATAAACATAATCACATACTAGACTACTAGACTTCAACATGGCCCGATTCAGAGGAATCGTAGCAAACACTCGACCTTTAACAGAGACTCGACCGTCTAGACCCGGACAGCGCGAAAAAAGCAGGTTTGGTCACTTTGAGGGAGGGCAGGGACACCCCTCAACCAGGACTTTAATATGCCAGGATGTCACGAAAGCTAGCCTTAGCTAGCTGGAGTTGCTCTTGCTTTAGCAAGTTAAGTGACGGGGTGGACGCACCTCAGAAACCTCAAATAATTGATTAAATCAATCTTATGGACCCCCCCCCCCCGCGGTTCGACTCCCCCCTGCGCGCGGTGAGCGGGACCACCAAGCAGCTGCAGCACACCAAGCATCTGCAGCGCCCAGCGCAGCAGCGGCAGCAGCAGCAGCAGCACCAGCAGCAGCAGCAGACCACCCAGCGGCAGCAGCAGCAGCAGCAGCACCAGCAGCAGCAGCAGACCACCCAGCGGCAGCAGCAGCAGCAGCAGCACCAGCAGCAGCAGCAGACCACCCAGCGGCAGCAGCAGCAGCAGCAGCAGCAGCAGACGACCCGGTGCCTGCAGAGCACCCAGCGCAGCAGCGCCCAGCGCAGCAGCGCCCAGCGCAGCAGCGGCAGCAGCAGCACCAGCAGCAGCAGCACCAGCAGCAGACCACCGGAAGCCCGGCTAGCTTTCGTTCACCCCCTCTGGCCTCAAGTTTGTTACACATGAGCTTCTTCAACCTCTGTACTAGGATTCCATAAAACAGGTTGACGCAGGATTCCATAAATGCTCAAAACCCTTAATTCCCGAATGCGTAGCGAAGGGTTCCCGTTTATAGTTGGGGGTCTGGGGGATGGAGCTGTGTTTGCATGGCTTGCGTCGTGTCATCGTTTGTCGTCGTTTGTCGTCGTCTGTCGTGTCTGTCGTCGTTTGTCGTCGTCTGTCGTCGTCTGTCGTCGTTTGTCGTCGTCGTCGCGTCTCAAATTTGCTGCCATTGGGGGAAGCTTTTGCAAGTGACTTTTCATGGATGTGTCACGTGTCAGTTTGCGCCGCTATTCCATTGTGATTTGCATGATAATGGCATGTCGCGCAAGAAACGTGATGCATTTCGCTGCACAGGCGCAGCGTTTTGTGAGATCCACAGATAGCTGCGCAGTTCCATTGGGATTAGCGTTTGGAGAGTCGTGTTTTTGGGGTGTTGGATGTGGCCGTGCCATTGGGATTTGCGTTTCAGGGTGTGACATCGAAGCTCGGTTTTCTTGACAGGTCTCAGCTGAAATGGCGATTTTGGTGGATGGGAGTGTGCTCAGAACGGGTCGAAATCATTCCAAACGTGTGGCGTGGTGCAAATTTTGTTGAAGCTCACATGAGATGATATTGTGACTTTTCGTGGCAGGCGCAGGACTTTGCGCGAGCTTTGAGGCGTGGAAGTGCGATTCTCGTGGCAGGCGCAGGGAATCGTGAGGTTGCGAGGTGTGACGGAGGTGACATTTCGTGGCAGGCGCAGTACTTTGTGCGCGTTAGACGTGTGGACGCGGAAAGATTCGTGGCAGGCGCAGGGAATCGTGAGGTTGTGAGTTGTGGTATAGAGGTGAATGTCGCTGTCACATTGGGATTGGCATGTGAGCGGATGTTGTTTGGAGGGGCTGGAACCGCGAAACTGTTTAGCAGGGCTGCGTGATGTGTGTGCTCCGATGGGTGTTTCCGCTTGACTTTTGGAGGAAGTCTCGTACGAAACGCTCGTTTTGCAGACTTTGACGTGTGAGTTTTTGAGGAAGTCTCGTACGAAACGCTCGTTTTGGAGACTTGACGCGCAACCCTCTGCGGAGATCGTGCGTGTCGAGCGCGCGAAATGCAGGCGAGCACTGGCGACTTTGTAGTACAACTTTAGTACGCGGAGTATCTGAGGAGCTGGACTGAGAACTGGCGACTTTGTAGTATAACTTTAGTACGCGGAGCAATCTGGGGAGCTGGAAGAGTGTCCCACAAGAGTGTCCCGCAACAGTGTCCCACTAGAGTGTCTCACAAGAGTGTCCCACAAGAGTGTCCTACGAGAGCGCCCCGTAAGAGAGACCCACAAGAGTGTCCTACAAGAGTGTCTAACAAGAGTGTCCCACAAGAGTTTCCTACAAGAGTACAAGAGTGTCCCAAATGACCCACAAGAGTGTCCTACAAGAGTGTCTCACAAGAGTGTCCCAGAAGAATGACCCACAAGAGTGTCCTATAAGAGTGTCCCACAAGAGTGTCCTACAAGAGCGCCCCGTAAGAGAGACCCACAAGAGTCCTACAAGAGTGTCCAACAAGAGTGTCCCACAAGAGTGTCCCACAAGAGTGTCCTATAAGAGTGTCCCACAAGAGAGTCCCAAAGCAATGCCCCGCAAGAGCTTCGTACAAGAGTGACCCACAAGAGTGTCCTACAAGAGTGTCCCACAAGAGTGTCCTACAAGAGTGTCCCACAAGAGTGTCCCACAAGAGTGTCCTGTAAGAGTGTTCCACAAGAGTGTCCTACAAGAGTGACCCACAAGAGTTTCCTACAAGAGTGTCCCACAAGAGTGTCCTACAAGAGTGTCCCACAAGAGTGTCCCATAAGAGTGTCCCACAAGAGTGTCCTACAAGAGTGTCCCACAAAGTGTCCCA